ATAATCCAATACAAATTCAAATCAAAAAGAAATAAATATATAAATATTATCTATAATACCCGTATCACATTAAATATATAAAATCATTGAACTAAAATATATTCATATAAAACATCATCAACATTAAAAACGAAATCTTTAATATAATCAAAACATATAACAATAATACATTAAATAAAACATAAAACAAATAACCACACGAAATATAACACTACCCCAGAAGAAAACCTAATCGCATGTAAAATGAAGATGACGCTTGAATATGTCTATATATTTTAATCATTATACTTTATTTCATGGGTGTAAGATTTGTATGGATTTGTTTCATTTGTCGACGCAATCTCTTTTGTCCTCAGGTCTCTTGGCACCTGAGAGGAACAGAGCTGAAGGAAGTCCGGATAGAAAGACTTTGAAGACAAGGCACCTTCATCTGTTTTGCTTTTGAAAAATCGGCCGATGCCTTTGCTCAGCTGCTTGGCATTGTACCTGCAGGAATACTATGGACATGAGCTGACTGACTAACTCCGAAATAAGCAAAAACCCTACCATGTTGAAAACTGACATGAACAATGACAATGGCCCCCTGGAAGATTGTTTTCCTCCATTGGTTTTCAATCCACGTAATTCTTCACAAAATTCATACACATCCCGTGAAAGCTGGCGCACTCCTTCTTTGGCAAAATACAATCTGGTGACTCGTTCTTGATGTTTGACACCAAAGGAGACACCTGCAAAAAGAAGACATGACTGCAATATACTTCCTCCGTGAGTGCGTGCATGCGTGCGTGCGTGAAATCATCATGCAGGGAACGAGGGTTCACTGTGCCGTGAACAGTGGCTTTCCTGCAGGATGAGACTCGCAAATGTGTCTTGCAGGATGGTGCCATGCGGACGCCCCACCTCGAAGAGAAGCAGCTGGGATTGGGCATGTGCCTGGACACAGGAACGACGTGCAAAGAACTTCCGATGTCTCAACTTCCCTGCTGCGCCTGTGCTGCCTTGAGCACTGGCCGCACAATCTCCGTGAAAGGCAAGCGCAAATCCAGCCAGGTCAGCGCGGTACTGCACGGCTGGAACGAGACACACGGCTGGAACGAGAACGAGTTCAAGTGATTTTGAATCCAAATCCAATGCCATGTGCAATTAGTCACAGCTGCCCACTCTTTGACTCAGCGATCTACAGGAGACTCTTGGGGAAGCCCAAAACAGCTTCGAACTTTGCCCTGAGCATCCCATAGCATTGACCGGTAATGTTAGGCTGAAAGAAGATCCCATTCTCTAGCTTTCAGTGGTTAACCTTTTTCAGGAGCTGTGAGAAGGCTTGCAGGACTCAGCATTGCTCGTGCTTTGGAGCTAAGCAGTCCAATCAATCTGGTCTCTCGTCATCGGTTCTGGTAGAAAAGTCCTCAAAGGACCTGCCGGCTTCAGACTTAGGAGTCATGTCGAACTTTCTCACACGAGTGAACAACTCGTGGTTTCAAATGGATTTACAGTACATGAAGTATGATGAAGGATAGTCGGATAGGGAAATAACCAAAAACACAATTCCAGCCTCTGTGCCAAACCTGCCGTTTTCCGACAAAATTGCAAATGCTGTACTGTAATGAAAACTGAAAACACCTCTTTGACATGAATGTATCTTCTCTACACTGCCGTCCCTGTTCAGTGTCATAGGTGCAAAACCAACATGACTTGGAAACTACATATAATATATATATACACACTGTATATTATATGAAACATTATGAAACTATTCGCTCAGTCCCTTGCACAGCTGCGCTGAAACACCCCAGCCTGAACACTGTTGTGGTTGTGTGGTGCCTGAACGCACATACCACAGCAAACATTTGTGAGTTCGCAGAAGACCTTGAGGGAACATGACAAACATGCGAATGCAAGAGCAAGGCAATCATAAATCAACATTTCATATCTATATATATACCTATATAATACACTGTAATACAATATAGGGTGGTTGACCAATATATTCTTTCATCCTGGAATGGCCATTCTTCGCGGAAAAAACATATCTTTCGCGGCCTCATCGCGAAGCATGGTCCTACACCCATGTCTAGCTAACAGGAGCATGTCATAGTATCACAAAATAGGGACAGACATCTTGCAGCATGATCCCAATAGAAGGCTTAACGTTTCCACAGCTACTCAAGGTCACTTGCAGCATCTGTGCGACACTTGTGCCAAATAGAGTCAGGCACAGCTCAACCCAATCCTCGTGCCAGCTACCAGCACAGCTTGGGGAGAAGCTTTCGCGGATCTTTCGTGAAATCTCACTGGTGACTTCCCCGCGAAGGTGTAACTTTTGCAAACATCTGCACAGCCCGTCAGAGCAGCTGCAGGTCGTTGCCTCACTGTCAGGGCTGTGCCCACTCAGGTTGCTAGCAGCTAGTCTGTGACAGTAGGGACAGGAATCGGAGAACCCTTTACGCACTGCCAGGGCTGGGCACGGAAATGTTGAGGCTTCAGTTCATTAGTCTGTGACATATGGGGACACTTCCGCCCATCGGCTCTGCCGGAGGATTGCCTTGTATTTCTATTCTTTGTCAGTCCGGTAGAAAGCAAAGCATATGAAAGCGATGACTTTCGATAAATCTTTCGCGGAAAAAACAAATACTTTCGCGAACCTCATCGCGAATCTTTCGCGGATGGTTCTAACAACATCTGAAAGGCTGTTTTATATAAAACTCCTTACACGGGGTTTTCGATCAACTCCCATATAGACATATATAGACAATGGGCAACCATTTGATATCATATATACATGCCACCACGGCGTGCCTTCCCGAACTCAACTTCACCAGCCCAGCCACCACGCTCCAAGCGACGCGTCCGCACGGTCCAGCCTCGGTCCGCGTCTCGAGCTTCGGTTCGCATCGATCCGATGGGAAAGGCGTGGCACCGGTGCCGAACGCGGATGCTGAACCACTGTGACTGTGATGAACTGTGACTTGTCTGAGGTTTTTGGTGAACTCTGGGGTGAGGACTTGCTTCAGGCCATGCTTGCCGCACCTGCCAATTGTGTCAGGTAGTTTCAAACTGAAGCGAGCTGCATCTTGACACCGGAAGTGGAATGATCAGCTGATCTCCTGGGGCTTCTTTCAAGGGACCTGGCCGTTGGAATTGATGGCAAACAGGGTCGGCATCGCAAAAGGACTTTTTTGAGCTTGTTTGAGCTTGACCCTTGGTGAAGGAGCGTGATTCTCTTTCACGTGGCAAAGTCCTTGCTTGGCCCAAATGGTTTCCGTGCTTGTGTGAACTCTGCTTGACACAAAGGACCTTCCAGCTGTGTTGAGAGACAGATTTTGTGCCTGTACCCGGGGTCGGGACCAATAGTCTTGTCTATACTAGTAGCGTCCTTGCTACTAATAGCTATGCCAGGAGCTACTAGTAGCTTCTTGTTCCTAGTAGCGATGCCCTTATTACTAGTAGCTTCTTGTTCCTAGGGTCCTAGAAGCGTGTACCCAGGGGTCGGGACCAATAGTCTTGTCTTCGGTACGTGCGCCAAACACACCTTGTTACGTTCGTAGCTTCTTGTTCCGTTTGAAGCGATGGCCTCCAACCTACTTGCGATGGCCTCCAGTGTCTTATTGCTTCACAGTCACGGCTCTCGATAGATCCTCTAAGGGCTTGCTTGCTGGGCTTGCCTTCAAGTGGTCTCTGGTTTGGTGACCCGAAAGCAGGGTTTTGAAGGCCTCACTGGATTTCAACACCTTCATTTTGATTGAACATTATAGTACCTTTGATCTTTGATTTCAGTGTTTTCCTACAAGGAGAATTGTGTTTTTTAGTGCTTACGCTATCTCCACTTTGTCGGCGCTCCAGCATTTCCGGCAAGGTTAATGCCAAACAGTAAGCAATAGCAAGTACTTATGTAAACCGATACTCTGCACTTCAGTCACAAGAGGACCAGGGGTGGAAGCATCACAAAAGGCCTTCAACAAGCTATGAATGTATAACGGGTTGACGCCAAACCACAGCTGCACAAATGGTGGGAGCTGATCCACCCCGTCCAGCGATCCACTTGGTAGGGAAGCTCGATCAGGCCCACATTATGCGCTCCTCACCGCCCCGCACCTCCCCACCCCAAAAAACATTACATCCAAATCCAAACCTCAAAAAAAACGCACAAGCACTAAACAAATAGCGTCCTCACGAAGCGGCCGGAGGGATTGCAGTTTTAGGTTTCTTTGCCAATAGGCTCCGAATCACTGGCCCGCACTTGAGCTCGCAGTTGCAACATGTTGCCTCAAACAGTACTGTAACTTGGCTGTTCTGCTCGAAGTTCTATGATCAACCGAAGAGACCTGTCAACAAGAACAAACACCCATGAACCTGACACGATGTGTTCAGTGTTGACATTATGGTGAGTATCTCTACATACCGCTACTACATACCCGTTGCTTGCATTTGTACAGCTACAGGCCGCCGTCTTCAGTCCAACCTTGACAAAGCAAATCACAGACCCTTCAGGTGTAACCAAACGCTGGATGAAGCGACAAAACGGGGGTCTCAAGTTACCGTGAAATAATATGCACAAATACAGAATCCTTCATAATCCTTCAATAATCATCATATTTTACCTTTTTCTACACTTCGTGTGGCCATTGGTACACCTTTAGACTTTACCATAGAAATGGAAAATAATAAATGACATCGACTTCCATGTCTCCGAACATGACGTCCCCGTGTGCTGCGCACTCTCTGCACGTTTGCCAACCTCTGGGCTGCGCGGGCTGCGGAGGTGACCGCACTTGGGGCAGAATCTGGCATCGGGCACGAGGTGATGATCGCCTTGGAGGAATCGATGTAGCCGACACGGCGCGAGATTCCGCCGGAAGGCGGCGCCGGAACAAAGATTGAAGAAAGAGATTCTTTTGTGGAATCTTCAAAAAAGATATCTTTCTTCAATTCAGATCAATCTTCATGAACCAAATGCTCTGCAAAGCAAATGAGTAGATTCAGTAGAGGAATTGCCTAATCTCATCTACTGTGGGACTGTGAGATCCGTTGCAGGCAGTGAAGGCGCTGTGTTGACCGTGGCTTCTCTATCCTTATCTTATCTTATCCTTCTTCAATTCTACTTTCAAATCAAGCAGCAAAAGGTGCATCGCGCATCAGCTGGGGCTGACGGCACTGGGACTTCCTCACAGCTTTGCTTTCAGAAAAGCGAGACGCAAACTCCAACCCAGGACCAACAACCGCCCACCGTCTCAGGAGCATATTGGTATATAGCAAGGACGCTACTAGTAGCTCCCTGGCAATACTACTAGGAACAATAAACTACTAGTAAATACTAGTAACAAGGGCATCGCTACTAGGAACAAGAAGCTACTAGTAGCTCCTGGCATCACAACTACTAGTAGTAGCAAGGACGCTACGAGTAGTGGCTCAAGCTGAGGTGGTGGGCGTCAGCTGGCCGTCCGGTATGCATCAGGCGTGAAAGCTCATCCAACAGCGTGGCAGGCGGGGCATGAGAAGCACACCGGTATTTAGAACAAACCAAGGATGGAAGGAACAAAACGTGCAGTAGTGTTATACTTGAATTACTAACAAGTGCATCGCTAGTAATTATATAAAAGCAAAACACAACTTCCTTTGTTTTTTGTTTCACCGAAACATACCCAGCCTTGTCAGCACTGCTCCGCCGCAAAAGTTCTCTGTCAGGTACACGCCTAGCGGAGGACATCATGCTTTGAAGAATGTCCCAGTGGTGACAGCAGCCCCCGTGGAACTCACGCAGTCCTTTTGAAAGCTGTTCCGTGGCCTATGCAAAAGGGCCGAAGAATTGATAGCACAGTCCGATAGCAAACTTCGTTTGCTGTTCGGTACATCACATAGGACTGCAATGGCACTGTATTTGGAATCAAGCTGCTCAAATCTGCAGCCTGAAATCCTTGCAGTCAGGACTTCTAGGATTTGTCAATCGATTGTTCAACTGATCGGTCTATTGAAGTCTATTGACGCTGTTGGTTGATGATGAGATATCACCAGGTTGAGACCACTCAACTTGAAGATGCTCTCCATCTCTCACTGAAGGGGATGAAGATGGCAAATGATGAGGGTGGAAGACAATTGTAAGCTTAGATCACTTTTGGACAACCATGGAGGTCAGCCAAATGAAACGAGCCAAACTGAGCCGTTGCTCAGCAGCAACTCAGGGCAATGTAGGAGCCAACTTGGCGCCAGTCTGCCAGAGCAGTGCCTGCTGTGGACAGTTTCGATCGCTCGAGATCACCAATGGTCGAAACTATTCTATGCTCGCTTATTACATCTCTATGTCACTACATGATGAAATTCTGCTGGATCCTCTTGATTCCGAGCTTGGTGACAAGTACGAGATCTCTTGATCAATTGACATCTCAACATGGACTTTCATGGACGCATGTCAAAACACAGAAAACACACATGCTACTAGTTATACTTGTTACTAGTAGCTTCTTGTTACTACTAGTAAGGCACTTGTTACTAGTAGCGATGCACTTGTTACTAGTAGCTAGGGTGTCTTGCTACTTGTATCCAACGGGTTAGAACGAACGGTATTCAGTCTCCCCTCCGTTTTCGACCCACTATTCCTGCGGTGGAAGGTGCTCAGGTGGGCCTCTCATGAGCGATGTGCTTGCTGGATCACCCGCAAGGCCTCCAAAGAGAACGAGACGGGAAAACAAAAGTCATCAAACATCAGTTTTTAACGCCAACCTTGTAAGGTCGAAACAAAAACAGCTCACACATGCTCACACTATCACTATACATACTTCAACATGTTTCAACATTTTTAACATTGCTCATTCTGACGACCCCATTAGCTTCGTACCCACAGTCAGCCACTCACAGATCTCACAGTGAGAGGACTACTTTAAGATCCTCAGCAAGTTTGCTGGCCTGCGTTGGTAAGTGTGCCTCTCTATCTGTCTGTCTGTCTGCCTGGCTGTCTGGCTGGCTGTCTGTCTCTGTCTCTGTGTCTGTCTGTCTGGCAGGTCTGGCTCTCTGTCGCTCTGCCCGTCCCTCTACCTGGGATATGTCTCAAAGAGGACAGAAGACCCCGTTCTCGCACCGACCTCATCGACCTTCTCCCGGACGCGTTGTTCCGACCTCCGAAAAGGGACGCTTTCCGGGTGGCGAATCACCCTTCGTGGCGAAAGAAGGGACACCGGAAGCATGTCCAGGCAGCGAAGAGTTTGTATTTTTCAAGTGCTTTTTTCCCAGTGCAAATCAAAGTGGCAAGGCTGCATGTTTCTGACAGGTATCAAGTATTAACTTTTCGGTGCAGTGGAGACTCAGGAAAAGTGACCGTCCTTGCTGGTTAGAATGAATGAATTGACTATGGACAGTGAAGATGCTGTCAGCTCGAGCCCTCGACTCCAACAAGTGGATCAATTCTTGGTTGTCCATCTCCAACATCATGCCAGTGATCTTGCCGGCCTAAGAAGACTAATGGTGCAACAGTAGAACGAATATCACATCGAACGCGCCAGTGCGTCCAAATGTCGTGTGCTGACATTGCATCTGGACCAAACCAGGGCCAAACTGTGATGAAACTGGACACTTTGCATCAAGAAAGGACATGAAAGGAAATTCTCAGGATCTATATACTCCGAACTACCGCTCACAAACCCTTTTGCAAATCAAGTGACCACTGCGACTGTCATACGTATGACTTTTCAATATACCGTACCTCTTGGCACGAAACACATTGGTTGCATGCTAGCAGCCAAGTCCGGCTGCCATTTTGCGACCATTGGGTAAAGCTTCTCACCGATCATCTGCTTCTGCACCTTAGTTGCTTGAAGCCACTGGAAACAACCTTTGGGACATCAATACCCCATCAACAGGACCGCTTCCTTTCTCTCAACAATTAAGGGACCTTGACCAACTGGACACACCCACGGAAGGAAATGCCAGCCTCTGAAAAGACAATACAGCTTTGGTGTGCATAGACGCTATGCGCGTGTAGGAGCCCGCTCGGTCGGTGCGGTGTGGCCCTGGTTCATGCAGCCGACAAGTCACCGGGCATTCAACAGGAACCGAACCACAGGAACTCTGCCGCCTTTACATCAAACTGAATTCAACCCAAGAATTCAAGGCGAAGATTTGCAACAGTTCAGTGTTCAACAGGAAACCAGTTCTGCAACACAATGGCTTCAATATTTCTAGCAACCCTTTTCCGATATCTTTGGGTTGGGTGGAGGCCCTCGGGTTTCCTGCCGACCAAGTTCTGGTCCAGTGACTGCTTGATTCACTTGAGGATTCCTTGGAGCAATTGGATCTCACTGCGCATGGGCCAAGCACACGCACACTCGGCATGCTGAGCTGGTGTGAAAGCATGAGGCGTTATTTTTTCTGCAACAAGCATGGCACTCACCAGCTCACTTCCTTCCAAATGCGCCTACGAAATCCTACAAATCTTCTTGATCCTCTCCAATCCAAATGCAAGCTGCATCTGCGGGTTCGGGGGCCTCATCATTGGCCTCGCATCTGAGACGAGCTTTGCAGCACTTCACCATGTTTCTGACAAGTGGTTGACTTCTGTTTCTTGCCCAATAGATTCATGAATTGCACGCGTTGAGGCTTCAGGAGTTGAGTCAACCTAAATCTTTTCAAGTCTGTCTGCAGCTTTCTGAGAACCTGTCTGCATTGGTTGCATATTTGGTCTCATCCCCATCATCGGATTCATAGGACCTGGCCATGTTGCATGGAGGATCAGCATATGTGAGGATTTTGCATCTACTTCTTGCATTTGTTCGTCATGGATCGCTCAAAACTGCTCAAGCATTTCCGGATGATCCAAATCCTGCCTTGCCCCATTGGTGGCATCGGACCCTTGCCCATGCAAGGCATGCCCCCCTGGCATGAACTCTACTGCCGCTATGACGGTCACAGGATGGTCTGCTTTTCGACAGGTCTGTTGGTCTGCTGGTGTTTGACATGTACACACGTGATCACCTGTGTGCAAATGGACAGGAAGAACATGGACGAACCTCTCGAATGCCATATCGACGACCTATGGAAAATATACTGGCCTTCATGGGGGGCATTGACTGTTGTCCAGGGCCTCCTTTGCACATCCTTGGCAGCTTGACACTTGCTCAATGTCTCAATGCCGCCTTCAAGTGACATCTTTCTATGCCTCCCTCTCGCTCGTCCGAGAGGCATCGGAGGCTGCATCATGCCCATCATTTGAGGTGGCCTAGCAAGCCACAACTTGCGAAAGCATCTATATATATATAACATGGTATAACAGATTATAAAAGCATCTATTCGAACATTCCACAGAAACACAAGACCAACCCAAGAGAATGATGAGATCCCTGAGTGATTTCTCCGGAACACGAACTCCAGCACCAGACGATCCCGCTCTACAGTGCGCAGTCCCGAGTCCAATCGATCCACCGGAGCATCGGATCATGAGCCTTTCCTTGGGGTTTGAGGGATTTCCTTGATGCTTTGGTTTTTCCGTATCCTGTGCTGAAGAACCATGGGTTTGACATGGCCGATGCCTCATCATGCCACCCATGTTCATTCCCATTCCAGGCATGTTCATATTATTCATCATCCTTGGGTGCGACGGTCGGCTCAAAACGGACAGCCATTGTGAAAAAAGAAAAATATGATGAGAAATCGATGTGCGCATCATACTGACACACAATCTTACATGCTCTTCATGCCATCCTTTTCAGCTCTGCTCTTTCATTGGCAAGACTCATTCCTTGTTGAGGCCCCATCATGTCCATGCTGCTCATGTCCTACCATTGACTACGAAACCGCAGTGCTTCCAAACGATGTCAGTGGAGCAACAGCCAAACAAATTGAACAGGTAGCAAGCATCCTGCAGCCAAACCACGGGCTGGCTAACAAGCTGACAAGTCAAATGAAGAACACATATTAATACATTTATATATAGAACTGTGTATATATATACACACCACATATAGAACTTATTATGTTGCCCGCCAAATAACAACATACTCCGCTGCAGTGGTCTGATTCATCATGCATGCTCCACGCACTCCGTCCTTGCCGCCATGTCCTTGGTAAAACTCATTGAGATGTGCGGTGTCCGTCATTGCCGTTAAGATTCAATTCAGGACTTGGCCCCGCTGCACGTCCACTTCTAAGACTAGGTGTGGTGATCCGAGCGGGCACGGATTTGACCATCTGTGCTTTGCTTGAACGTTCAAGCTCCTTTTCCTTCGACCCCTCGCATGGTGTTGGAACCCGAGAGGGTTTTTCAGCATGCTCATGGTGTGATTCTGAGGCAAACAGTATGCGCTTTGCTTCAGTCAAACATCACCTTCAGCCGATGCTTGTGGTGTGATGACGGCTATGCCATGCCCATGCTATGTCCAGGCATCGGTTTGGATCTGAACAGGCACATTCTCAGAATGCATCATACCTTTGGGACCTTTTTCTTGGTGCCTTGCCAACAAGTTGTCGCACTCCTTGTGTATTGAGACGGCTCAGCAAATTCAAGTTTGGGGTGTAATTATAAAGTCTGCGCACTTCTTGAACTGTGAGAACTTCATCTGCAACATCTTCACAGTAAGTCTTGTTTGGAAGGTGTGCAGGAGGCAGTCACTGCGCAGCGAAGTGATTGACTGCCATCAACGGTTGATGCGGACAAGCCGTGCTTGTCCATCATTTTTGATGCCAAACATGTGCACATCTTAATGTTGTATCAAGTGAAGCGGAGAACACCTTCAAGTGATTCCAAGCTGAGGAATATCACCGACTGCTTCAACCAGAAGAGGTGACCAGGACTTGCAAAGGAGGACACACAATGGGAAAGACTTTCCCTTTTCAAAAACAATGGATTGGTATCCTCCCTGACTTTGCATGATCAAGACCAAATTTCAGGGACTCTCTTGTAGCGCTTTCGCTGTCTGCACAACATTACTCACTATAGTGGTCCCCAAATAGATAGTGGCTTTTCCAGATTTTCTACGTGGGATCTACGAACTTCACTCGCTCACCAGGCTAGCCCAAGGCACCATGGTTCTTTCCTTTGCCCTTCTTGCCTTTACCTGAAACAGCAGCTCCAAAGAGGATAGTCTCTAGGTGAACCACGGTGGACAAGCCAAAGCTCGGTCTGCAAAGCCTTTTTGATCGTTTCCAAAGCTCTGGGCCTCCAAAGCTGTTGTAGCCAAAGCCACCAAAGCCGCTGGGCGCATTATACCTTTTCGCCAAACGCTCCTGTCTTGCCTGCGGGCGAACAAGTCGGCGAATTGGTCCAAATCGCTGTGACTAGGTTGGCAATACAAATAGCGGCAAAGTTTTAGGTGCGCGGGGATGAGAACCGTCACCCTGAAGGGTAGGACCGAAGTGACCGTCACCCTGTCACGTCAGTTCAGGTTTGGATGATTGCTTCACTGTGTGATTTCCTTGCCGGTTCCAGCCAACAACCCACGTGTGTGCTACAGGGTCTGATCACCTGTTAATGGTTGGAATAGTGAGATAAAAGCACTGCACTAGAAGGGCAGGCGTCACTCTCAGCAAAGTTAATTTCAAACATCTGAGTGCAATTACACCAAGCAAGACCCATTTAAGCCACTTAATATCATTCAATCCTCATCCCTTGCATTCCCTGCCTCTTTTCTCTCAGCTAAGCCAACGTACAAAGGCTTTCCCTTCACCACCTGACTGCTCTGCACGAGAAAATGCGAACAAAACACATGCTCGGCGAAGCGAATAGGTGGCATTTGTCAGCAGCGAGCCCTTGTTACTAGTAACTACTAGGAATTCGCGAACCCCTGTTCCGAACGTAAGGCCAGTTGAGCCCCGCTCGAGTCGCATCCGAACGCTCCGTCTTCGTCGCCTTGAGATGCATCTCCGTCACGGCTTTCGTGGCCTCGTCGGGGGTGTCAAAGCACACGAAGCCGAAGCCTGCATGAAAGACAGATTCATCCGGCAAACGGTTTGGACGGCCTGGAGAACCCACAAAGAATACAGTATCCACGTGGAAAGCTCACGACGTGGGACCGTGGGACCTTGAAAACCGGTTGGTAGAGGACAACAGTCGGACTCCGGGTCGACCCGTCCACGGTTCGTTTTCGGGAGTGCTTTAAACGTTTTGCCTCACAAGGAGCCACCGCAACCTGAAAAATCTCACCTCCTGTGCAACCTGAGGAGAACACCTCCTAGGCCAGTTTGACATCCAAACATCATGGCAGATTGCCGCGCCTTTGCATTTTCCAGATGCATCCTTTACAGCAGCTGCTGAAGTAACCTACCACAAACAGGTCTGGCCTAGTTTGCTCCGGTTCGGACTTAAAGCACAATGCCCTGGAGAAACAACTTGATTCAGGTTTTGAAGGTCTTGCCATTCAGCAAACTCGTGTGCCTTGCCGAATGGCTCAAACAGCACCCTCCTTAGCAGCGAAGCGGAGAGCTGGCAAATCCCAAACGAGCACCCACAGTCCATTCACTGACCCCCGCAAAAGCTTTTTAGCTTCACCTCAGCTACCTGGGCTGTTGCTCATCCAGCTACCCCATGCTTTCAGCTTTCCAAAACATCCGATCTCAAGGATCCATGAGGATCCCATCTGGTGCCAAGTCTCAAGTCGGAATCATCCACTTCAGGATCCAAGTTCTTCACCTTTCAAGATCTTTGTCAGCTATCTGGCCGACTAATTCGAAAGATACCTTCATTTGGCTTCGGCTTTGGTGCCAAACAGCTCGAAAGCAACGGTTCTCCCCAGCTTCTGAATCCCGTCATGTGAAGAACTACAGTAGTTGGAGTAGTACGTACACCACAGTTTACCTAGTAATTCACGAATGAGGGACCAAACATTTCGCAGGAAAGACATAGACTGAAATTTCCAACACTTGAATCCTACACCTTACGGCATCTTAGCTGAAACAAAACTATATAGGATAGGTGCAGCTACGTACACACATTTTCTGACAATAACTGCAAATAAAACTCTTGCCAATAAACAATTAGTATTCAAAGTTCCACTAATCAGCGTTTGAGTGAATAACATTCAGCCAATAAAATGATCCGAATTACCATTTCTTCAGCCATACTCGTCTTGCGGCCAAGTGACGTAAAGGTTCACCGCCTTGTTGACCACTCGAGTGTCAGTGAACTGCGAGCGCAACTCGGCCTGACGTTCAGAACAAAACCCAAAGCTGCTTGCTGCCCTGCTAGGAGCTAGGAGGTCTTGGGCTCCCTGTGTTGAAGAGAAAGCCAAAGATCGAAGCCATTTTCAACACTGCCACAGCATCACTGCCTTCAATCAAGCCCGTTGTGCCTGGCGCTCCTTTTTGGCTTGTGCGCGCTGCACGTAAAGGTGGCCCACCTCATGCGGTGCTGCTCAACCCTACACTACACAGGCCCACGGCCCACTCACTCCATCTCACCCCCCTAAAACACAAACTGAGAACAACACCCATGGGCCCAGGTAACTTGTGTTTTCATGTGTTTTCCATCTAAAAGAGCTCCCTGAAACGTCCCTTGGCAACACCATAGTGACTCCAATGGATCACCTTCCATCACAGAATCACGCACGTGTCTCATGTCTCCACTCAAATGGTCCATCTGAGTCCATCTCACTCACGTCCGAGCCGCTGGGTGACCATCCGGACCCATTTCCTGCTCCGCCTCCTTGTCCTCTCGAAGGTCCTTTGCTCACGAATTCAACGGCTGAACACGTCGTCTCGAATTCGGTGTCATGGTCAGGTGACGGGTGGAAAGAGAGTGAAAGCTGAAACAGCGGTGCAGGTCAAGGCGACACCAGCGACACCGGATGACGACGGACACTGACCACTTTTGTGACCCACGAACGTCGTGATGGAGTCCATACCGTGCAACTCATCCACACACTTCCGTGCATCTTCACTGTTCTCGTAGTTCACCTAAACACGAGTGGCTCGTTGGGCAGCGGGGCAAGAGTGCATGTGCAAAGGCAAACCAGAAAACGAGCTATTGCAACAAACTGCTTGAAACTTGGCACAAAAAGACCTCTGGTGGACGTTGCAGACGTTGCATGCATTCTGTGGCCGCAACATTGGCCCACACATGTTCCAAAGATCCAGCAACAAAACTATGACATTTAACAACACAACCTTTTTAAACACATTTTAGAAACCAGAACCAAAACATGCAACATCTTTTAACATGTTTTTGAAACAGGTTTTTCCAACTCTTCTTCAGGTCGCAAAGGCAAACTTCCGTCCCTTGTCGTCAATCTTGATGGCCGCAGCAGTGACTGGTCCACACTGACTGAAGAACTCCATAAGCTTTGCTTCATCCCAGTCTTGTGGATAGTATTTGACCTCAGCTTGAACACGAGTTCTTCTCACAACCTCGTACTTGCTCCGCTGTGCAGCAGCTGTGCAATTTCCAGGCATTTATCATTCATGCTGTTGATGGACAAAATCCTGCACTGCCTTGCACACAGTTTTCTTGCTGCCCTCGTTCTCCCTCGTTAACATTGGGACCACCACAGTGAGAAAAACGACACAAGTTGAACATCCGAAATCCTGCACCACCTGATCAGAGGCGTCGCGCCAACATTGGCACCACCACAGTGAGGAAAACAACACAATCAAGTTAAATTATGTTAAATGTCCGAAGTCCTCACTTCGTTTTCCATGAACGAACAGTGGATCAATGAAACAATTGCTCAAGGAAGTCGCATTCTTCCAACATTCCAGCAAAACTTCCATCCAAGCAACGTAGAGATTCGTGAAATCCCGCTTTTGAGCATCCTGTGCAGCTCATAAGTTGGTAATAACAGTATGTTTGCACAAATCTGCAAGACTGGCATTGACAAAACCAAATTGAGGACACCCAACCAATAGTATTTGATGTATTTGTCCAATGTGATTACATGGGACCCAACTCAGCAACTGCACTGATCACTCACCATCAATAGGTAGCATGCTCTAGATATTCCACAGCCTTGTCCTTTTTCTGAAATAAACACACCTTGGCGGGCAAATGGAATTCTGTTTGGCGTTCCACAGCTGCCGTTGTGAGCTACAAGGACTGGCTTTGAGCACAAATTCGGGCAGGTCGGCATTGAACCTTTCACGAACTTACCCTTCTTGCTTGCAAATATATCGGCCTGCGTGAATCTAGGCATCTGATTTCTCTAGCCAGGGGACTGTCACTGCCTTCTCTCCAATCATCATGCCATTGACCCTCTCGATTGCCTCATGCACTCCAAGGAAAGAATCAACATTCATCAAACACTGTACTTGGGCGTGTCTTTGAATTCGGAGTCACCTGGTTGCCCTCCTTGGTGCAAGGAAGAATAGACTAACACCCATTGGTCGGAGGGTCTCCATTTGCAGTGATCGCGAAACAGAACTATGCAAAATCAAATGCTTCTGTTGCCAAAACCTTCACATCTGGCTGTGACCACTGGGTTTCACCGTCCTCGAGCTCTCTCAGTGCTTTTGGATCAAACAGGCAATCTATTGTTCCATTTGGCAACTTCTTATATATGCATGCAATTGCATGCATAATATGTTTCTTCTTCTTTCACAGCTCCAAAGCAAATATCAGCCCTAGCCTGACGTGCTGCATCCTCAAACTCGTAATGCACAAATCCGTAGCCGTGAGACCTAGCACTGAAGGCAAGACTGCCCAGGAACATCTTCTGCCAGGTATTTAGAAGAGTCGAAAGCAGTTCGCCTTACAGTATATAATTGAATCTTCTCATTTTTTGGGGCAAAGCTTTGACTTTTGGGAAGTAAGCATAAGATTGACTCGTTGACTAGTTTGTGCGCAGCGGCTGCACAGCATCGATGGCGACACGTGGCATTCTCCTTCTCTGATTTACACGAGCCGGCTCGGCACGGTGTGCTCGATTCTGAAACCGCCAGGAGTTGGTCGGTTTGTGGCAAGCACTGCTGCCGAATAGTTGATCGGGATGTGGAGGCTTTGTATTTAACTGGCGTTCCAGCTCTAAAGAAAACATTCTTGTATGAAGGCGGTCGGAAGCCTTTAGCAAGGAATGTTGTTCAAGGCCCGAAACGTTCTTGGATTTTCTATACTATATTATCATATATTCATGTATACTATATACATCTATATACATAGAACGCGTGTCTCCTTCGTGTGGGGTCACCCGGTCGGTTTTGAACGGTGCTGACTCGGAACTCGGAACTCCACGGAACTCCAGAACCAACGGAACGGGTGAGACTTACTGGTGGGAATTGATGGAAAGGCACATCATGTCTTTATTCCTTTGTGTCGAGTGCAGTCACGCCTTTGAAAAATGTGTTTCAATGGCAACTTTCTAACAGAACCGATCGAAGATCATGCACTGGAAGATTGGGCAGGGAAGAGCGTGATCCCTGTGTACCAAGCCCCAATCCTTCATTCTTGTTTGGCTCGTTGATGTTCGCTTGCTGACCCTTTAGCCGCAATGGGCCCAGTGGGGGCCTGAAGCAACCTGTGCTCCTCGGACGGATGGAGGTCGTATGAGGTCGCCAAATTTTGCGTTACTTCTATAGGCCCTAAGTCCGCGACAAGGCCGTAGCTCTGCAACAAGAACGCATCCAAGATTACTGTTTGCTACTCGCTATGCTCGCCTTCGGTGCCTTCACTTCATTACCCCACTACCCCTCACATTCCGATATATATATATATATATTTGTCTGTAACAACTATAAGTAATACGTACATGCATCGAACAAGCAAAAGACAGTTGGTGAATGTTACTGGCCAAATTGTAGATTGTTTGTCATGGGAAAGCTCTCACTGCTCTCAGAGCGGTTGCTTTTTGCCTGTGTGCTTTTCGTAGAAACAAGAGAGCGGTTGAAAGAAAATTGAAGGCAGTCTTCTCAGAACTCAAAAGGACAGTTCCTTGACTGTATTTTTCAAAGCTGAATCTTGGTTTGTGCATGGGCAACCATCTCACCAAGCATCTCACTTTCCAAGTGCATCGGAGGCCACTTTGCAAGACAAAATGTTGCCAAAAAGGCTGAAGGTGTCATACAAAGCCTGGCATGGCATCGGAGAAGCTGAGAAGCTAAGAAGCTAATGCGGAAACCGTGGCCACCGGAGGTCACCAAAGCTGCCCAGCAGTTGCCAATGTTAGCCGATTTTCTTGGCAAGGAACCAAACACGATCCATCTAACTGCATGATCCACTGCTGTACATGCAAGACTCTTGAACCTACTATGCTAGGCAACATGTCAAGGACACCCAGTCTCTGCAAATACCTTTCTCGCCTTGTTATCGATGTTTGGGTCAAGGTTGCTGACGTAGATGTTCCCTGCGCCGGTCCTCAGAAGCTGTTTCTCACGTTCCGTCCGTCTAGAATCTTGAATGTCATCTGACGTGCGTTTTGGGCCCCGACTTGCGTAGTGTGGGATCACCTGGGCCAAGGGTGGCCAAGGGGACAAGCCGAGCTTGCAAATCGGAACCTGTCACCAACTTCAACATTGCTGCGTTCCTGGATTAACAGATTAACAACCCTTGCCAAAATGCACTCTGGAGCTTGCAAGCAGCTTGGAGGGACGGTGCTGCTACCCAGTGAAGTCCCCCAAGTCATTCGTGCTACCCAGGTGAGAGGTGGGCGCTCGTGTGGGTGGGCGCTCCACAGCTTTTGTGCTTCACAACAATGAACAAAACACCTGGACACACTCCGACTTTTCCATGTATTCTTCCTTTATTTGCATCAAAGTTTTTCGTTATGGAGGAATGCATCGCGACATTGGGCAAATGAAACACACACCTCTTGTTTGAATATGTTTTAAGTTTTGATTGTTTCTTGACTGCTTTGTCAAGTAGTCATTTGATGCCATCTGGACACGAATTAATGCATCAGTGATCAAGAGAGTATCAAGACAACCAACCTGTTAAGTTCACATGATTTTTTTTCGTCAGCGAAACACACATGACACAACAATTAAAGCCGAAGGTAATTGGAGAGCGAACAGGTGGTGAGACCCCTCTATTCTATGGAAAAAACACATACACTTTTAATTGTTTCATGTTTCATGTTGCTTTAAACTCTGCCCTGTTTCGACATGGTTTTGCTGCACGCGAAAAAAACATCGACCTGCGCAGTTTGCGAGACAAAGAGACGTTGGCTCCACATGATACGACACCTCAGGCGGAACCCATGCTGGCTTGGCTCAAAGCGGACAGTGCTGTTGGCTCAAACTATGCCAGCATTTCCCGTGACTGTTCTGTTGTTCATCATGCTTGCTGGCAGAGTCTCTAGGTGCCTATGTGTCGAACCGCAGCTAAAAGGGGGCGCTCCTTCCTTGATGCTTGCTAAGTTGCGATCGCCCCTTGATGCTGGAATAGTTCAACGTATCCAATGCTCGCTCGGCATCTGAGACACCTCGTCGAACTGAGACACTACGAAATGTCCACAGGAATCTTTTGAACATCAAACGCGCTGTAAGCAAAGGGAACATGGCAAGCTACCTGCAGCATTCGCCAACGTCAGCCATGGATAGTTTGGAGACTTGTGAAAGGTACGACAGAACACGGCTATTTTCGAGCCAACTCGTAGCTGCCATGACTTAATGTTTTCCTTCCGCCCTAAATGCATACAGTAATATATCTACAGGAATATACTATTTCTATCTATTTCTCAGGAAGCTCCTTGCGCCACCCCCCCCCGTTCTAGAGTTTCCCAGACTTTCGCCATGCCCTTCTCCATAAGTCGGCTCCAGGAGACTGTGGAAGTTCACATAGCCATAGCCCAAGGACTTTCGCGTCACCGAGTCGCGACCTGGGTGGGTCAACCGTCGATCCCGAGCTCGGCGGGAGCCGGTGAGGAGAACAGGAGGCGCTGGCACACACGGATGGAGGCGACGGGGCCTACGGCGTTGAAGATCTCATAGAGCATGGCCTGGAAGAGATGAGAGGTGCACTTCCAAAAGGAACAACCTACGTTAGAATTGTTTCTAATAGCTTCTTGTTACTACTAGTAAGGCACTTGTTCCTAGTAGCGATGCACTTGTTTCTAGTAGCTTAAACAAACCAGCGACCGAGTTCGATCAAAGAGTGTGAACTCAGTTTTCATCCGCTTACTTGCACTCATTTTCTTTCCTCCTCGCTGCGGGTCCGAGCCTCTGTGACATCTTGATGGAGGTCACCCACATAGAGCGAAGCAAACTGCGGAACGGCTGAGGGTCCGGACCTGGGTCGTTTTTTGCCAGCTTGGTCGGATCTTGCGCTTGATCAAGCGGTCAAACCCTTGGAAACAGGCGCCCAAACAAAGTGAATTCATTTGCAATACTCTGTTTTTGGGACATTTTGGAGGGGACTCATAATTTGCTTTTTGAGTCCTTTTTTGGATCTCTTGTTCTGCCGGGCACTTGTTCGGGGGTTCCAAACCGATCCAACCCTGTCCAAATCGGGCATAGAATGGGCCATGGATATTCGTGGATGAGATTGGATGAGTACCTCCAGGATCTTCCAGGGGCCTGTTTTCCGTTTCTCCGTTTGTTGAGTGGGTGACCGGATGGAAGCAGTGCCTATTGATGTCGATTGACATTGTTGACCCCAATCTCGCTGGACTCATCTCAGACAAACTGTGGCTTCTGAGGCGCAGGCATGTGGCTTTCTGCACCGAAACCCTCCGCATGTAGATACTGGATTCGATTGTTGGATGATGACAAATTCCACCTTCTGGAACTAAATGCAGTATTGGAGATCCCAAATGCAGTTCATGGCATTTCCAATCATCAAGACTCGCTGTGATCACTGTGAAAACGTCGAATCTGAACCATTTGGAGCTGACATGCACGTACAACCTGCCATTTCTACTGCTTGGCCCTAAAGCCCTGGTTGCATGCAGCATATTGTGAAACTTCAGACTTGAGCCAAAATGCCGAGGGGCGACATTCAAGTCGTTTCAAGTCATGATCCAATGATCATCAATGATCCATTCATTGTGCATGAAACTGTGCGACCTACATCTACCTGCCATGTTTCAGCTCTGGTAGCCAGTGGCCTTCCACCTTTGAGCTGCAAATGTCCCTGGTGACCCTAGTGCTGTTGCAGGCAAGCTCATTGTATTGCTGTTGCGCTGTGGTGAACGTGTCTCCGTCTCTCTCTCTCTCTGCCTTTGCGATGAACTCGGTGAGCTTGGCTTTCCTCAAGAGCTTGGACGCCACGAGTCATCTACCGTACCATCGCAGCACAGCACCGTCCGGCTCGCAACGAGCGACGAGTTCCACCATGAAACAGCTGAGTTCCACACGCACCATGTCCGCCCTTTCCAGGACACGATGAAGAGGTTCAGAGCTGCACACCGGGGCAGCGAACAAAAATATGCTCAGATCATCTCAGATCCTGTCCTAATGGCCATAATTACTGTCTTTCTGCTTCAAACTGACACAACGACACGAGACACTCAACATGGGTGTCTAAACACCACATGACAATTGGGACCTCCCACTGCGCCAGTCTCCTGAAGGTTTTGGGAAGACCTGGCGGAGGTTTCTCACCTCGTCCGCCCACCAGATCCAACGAGTGTTTCAACGCCCCTGGACCAACATACAATTCCGAAAGCAAGACACAGGGACGTCTTGCCACGGTACACTGCTCCTTTGATCATTGATCCTGCAACTTGTGTCGTTTGACCAGTGGCTTTGCCATGGTACCCTGCTCTTGCGGAAGGAGCCAACGGGCCAACGACACCTTTCTCTTCCGTTGCCAAGGAGGTAACCACTCCTGTGGCGGGTTGCCGAAAGTGAAGGAAATCGGTCAAGTGAGTCAACTGTCTTTCTTCCCTGTATTCTTCGATACTCTTCCGTCCTTTTTTCTTTCTAACATATGCCATATTTTGGATACCATGCATTTCACTAAACTTACCTTTGACAATCTCTCCTGCACTGGCTGCTACTGTAGGACTCAAACTAACAAAAACATACAAATATAATCAAATATAATCAAATACAAATATAATCAAATATAATCAAACATATATAAACAAACAGCTGCTTGGAGCATCTTGAGCCTGGCTTTGGCCTGGCACCTGCGGCCATCCCACACGTTGGAGATGCCTGGGTGGAACGAGGAGGTGTCGCAAGGGCGCAAACCACGTCCAAACCCAAGGCTCTTTGTAGAAACTGCATTAGTCGAATGTAGAAAAGACCCCATCTACAGCAAAGCTTTCGTGAGGCCTTTGGCAAAGAACCTCCTCTTCTTTGCAGCAAGGAGTATTTAAGTCCAAGAACTAAGGCCTTCTGCCAGTGCTCAGGTCATAGAACTTTATACAACTTTTGGGTCTTCTGACTTTGCTTCGATGCTCCGGTGCCTCGGTGCCTCTCTGCTGCGCAAGTGCAGCTGACGTATGCTGACGTTAGGTCGGGAGTCCTCTTCGCCCAGAATAGAAACCAAGGGAAAACATCTTTCAGTGATCAAACTGAGAGTTACACCAACTTCGGACTTTCATGCAACATGCAACCTACCCATAAGAAAACAAGGACCCGACACCGACCTCCCTGGTACCTGCTCTCGACCAACCACCCTGCACACAGCATGATGAAGGAACTTGCCTTAGAGTTGTGAGGGCCAGACTCCACCAACTCCGCAAGGTCTTCAGTAGACCTCAAACTTTGTTAAGGAGGATCAGCAGGCTAATGTGGGTTGAGCATGCAGGTGTGATGAGGGGTTCCTGCGGGCCACTTCTGTGATGCCACGCCATGCATTCTCAGGCGCCAGGTGCTGCAAAGACAGCACACCAAGGATGCAAAGGTTCTTCGCCACCTCTACCTGAGGATGCATCGTCCATGTTTCTGCTCGCCCCTTCCAGGACGCAAGGATTTCTTACAAATCCCTTCTCTTCTCCTATCCTTCTCTCTTTGCCTCTTTGCCTCTCTGTGTCTCTCTCTCTCTCTCTACCCCTCCACAAGCTGAGCTTACCACCCAAGAAGGGTCGCTGAACCGAAGGAAGAAGCGCCGCAGCAAGCGGTTGCTTTGCAACCAGTCTGTCAAGCCTTGGGCAACCACTCAACGAGCATAACAAGCAACAGCAAGGAGCATGACGCGTAACTCAAAATCCATGAACACAAGCAACTCATATCCTGTAAAACCACCAGTTGCTACAATTTTACAAACTTTGACATGAGAAGACTTTTGGAGGCGGCCAACTTTTTCATACCTGTCCAGTTGATTGAATTCTACAAACACCCAAACGGTCTGTCTGTGACCATCGGGTCCAAACTAACTTTTCTGCTGTGGCCATGGGGTATGCCTGGGAAGCAAACTGATATGTGGCTCTCCAGCCTGGAAGACAAGGGATAGAAACAGGAAGCAGTGTGGGTCCTTGCCTGACTCTGTATGCACACCACCTTTTGATCGACATGTTTGAACAAGCTCCTCACCTCCCTTGCACACATGGTCGCCGAGGAGGGTAAAGAACCTCAGAGTCATGATGCCACACTTACTGCGTGCATGTCCTTCCAGATCGTAAAACAATCGGCTGTGCCGCCCATGGGTCAGGTAGAGGAGAATCTAGAAAACACACACTCGCTGATACTTGTTGTGCAAAAAACAAGCACACGAAACATGACATGTGAGGATTTTACTTTAACAAAACATAAATTAAAGCCTTGCAGTATCGCAAGCTGCATGCGTGCACAGCTGCGACTTTTCTCTCAAGCGATATGAAGCTCAACGCCCAGGCACAAACGCACCTCAAGTGACGAAGCAAGATCTCAAGCTTGCTTCGTCTGCCATATTTAATACATTTTAATACTATTAGGATTACAATTACACACTTCGAGAATCAGGATGTCTTGAGCACAGTGTTTCCATCAAATGTCATTAATGAACACAACTGCCAACGACCATTGCATCAAAGTCGCCAGGTCTAAGCAAATATGCACAGCTGCCCAAGCGCCCAAAGCATCCAAAGCTGCGTCGAAGCAGCCATGCCCACCTGAATCTGTCGATCAATCAAGTGAATTCTCAATCTAATGGTTCTAAGTTCTAATGTCTATCGGCTATCGAACTTCAGGAGGCTTGACACAAACCTGATGCAACATACAGCGGCGGTCAGTGCGATACGTAAGAAACGTGATGTCAAAGTGCAAAGTCATTTGCTCAGGTGACTCGATTTTGTTCCTTTCGCATGGGCCTGTTTTCGCATGCATGTTCCCTTTCCGCTGATGCCATGGGTCCACACCCCATCGATGAAACGGTTTCATCATGTTTCATCGCAGGCCGGGTCCGGCCTGGTCTCTCGTCCAGCCGAGCGAAGAGCGGGAAGGACACGACCAAGTAAATGGCATAGAAGGCGGATCCTGACAACGGGCGGACGTGCCGCTCGGGCGGATCAATCCACACCATCAGCCGAACGGCGACGGCGACGACGACGTGTTACTTTTTTTTATTTCCCCCCACGCGCTCCCACATGGCTGGAAGACAAGACATGAAGGCCTGCAATCATAGCATATGAATCAACGAACCGTCGATATAGGTACAATGTAGTACAATCAGCCGATACCAAAATCCAAAATTCAATGCACTGGCTGATGCTGGATGTAACATGGACGAGGCATAGTCATTCACAGCTTCTTTTTGCTGAGGCAAGGCACCAAGGGTGTAGGCCATACCACGATTTTCAAATGTGTAGTAAGGGAAAGCTGATATCGAGAACGTTTCCATGAAGGCCACGGAATAGGACATCACGCAAACCTGAACATCTCATGAAAGGCCCGCATTTCCTATTGATGAGAAACATGGTAGCCCATTGACAGAAAGATCTATCAAAAAAAGTTTGTTGAGCTATTAACTAAGCCACAGACTGTTGGACTAGCGATGTATCAACGACCCTGCTAGCTGCAACATAGCTGCACAGCAAGGCTTACTATCGATGTGAGACAATTTCAGTCTTTCTCTCAAGCCGCCAAGCACACCAAAATCAAAGTTTCCCATGCGGCAGCTCTTCTGCTTCAAAGCCTACAGTAGTAGCGGCCTACTTAGTAGCTACTACTCTTACCCATTACAAAGTTGCTTTTTGGCTCTCTTACCGGCCCATCTCCCAAAACGGATCTTGTTGCTCAAACCAAGACAGGACACAAAGACCACAGAGAAGATCTTCCTCCAAAAGCTCGGACGGAAGCGAGTGGAGATCCAGCGCAAGGCTTTGTTCCCGAGTGCATGGTAGAAACCTCAAGGGACACATCCGAGATCCGCATCAAGCAGGCAAGTCTTCTAGAGTAGACCTGACCAGAAAGATTGCCCCAAAAACGTGTCCAATAATGGTGCTCTTCCTCCAAATTCCAACTTCTGATTTGGTTTTAACAAACTTGGTCACCCTTGAGTTGAAGCTTCGATCACCCGATATCATTCGCATCTGTGCGTTTTCCCTTGCGTGCAAACCAATTAGACCAAGACACTAAAGTAAAAGTGCGTCGCAAGGTACCTGCGTCGCGTTTGTGCACCGTGGACGCAAAGACATTTTTCTCGAAGCCACCGTTCTTTGGAGCATGGAAAAGCCATGTCTTTTCTACCTCACAGTAGGTCAATGATGATGAATGTACCTACTCTGCCAGGTCTGGAAAAAAAGGATCTTATTCCAAGCAGCATGCACACTGGCACCCCATTCAGCTGGTGTGATGGCAGAAATGGTAGCGTGTACTTCCTTAGTTTTGGGTCGGGTTGGACAAAATGACACGTGGGTTGGGTTGGGCAAAGTTAACGTATAATTTTTGCTTCATGACGGAACCCCCTACACCGCGCATGTCGCAAAGACCCAAATGGATCTTGGCATACTTCACCCGTCCCATACTGATGGAACCGGCCACACTTTCGCACGCGAAACACGTGCAGTGCCCCAACAACGGACTGCCAAGCTGCGCCTTGAGCACACAGTAGAAGTAGTGCGTGCCCCAATAATTTCCTGCTTGAGCGATTGAGCCATCGCTTGGTGTCTGGGGCCCAAGAAGAGAAGCGAAGAGAACATGAACAGTCCAAAACATGACAGTTCCGAGTAGCAAAAGCGCCCCCTGCAGTTTCAGGGGGTAGTTGACAATGTCAGTGCAAATCGTATTTTTCAGCTTGCTCATTGTACTCCGCCAAATTTGCTTCACTACATCTATTTCTTCAGTACACAACTTGAAGATCATGAACGTATCTGGCAACGGCTTGCCTAGAAAGGAGTAGACAGCAATCCACAGGTTGGCTTTGGTGCAAAACCGCTGCGCCAGTGGCACTGAGGCCTCTTTGGTCAGTGCGGGGAGCAACAGCGGCTGCAAAAGTAATGGAGCTGCCAGACCACCACAAACACCCAGGTAGGCCCACTTGTCCATCGACTCGTAGATCCTAAAACCGACAATGACCTGCCAAACAGAGTTAGCCAGACCTTTCGCTGAAGACTCCAGGTTTGGGGATTTTACTTTGACAACAGCGCCCTGATTTAGACGGGAGCCTAGCTCATTTCGCTTGGAAACACAAGTGTCAATCTTGGAACTGCAGGCTCGCGGCCGCGCAAAAACGGTCTCAATATCCCGGGCAAAATACATTATTGTCCAAGTGACTTTCTTGATGCTTTTTTTTGTGTTTTGATATGAGTTGGGCAAAATGTGGGTACAGGCTGATTGATATACAGTACTCCTTTTCTGAGGTCTCGTGGACAAGAAGGACCGTTTCCATCCTCATGACATCATCCGTGAACGTACAGCGATTGTCGGTCGGTCGTTCTCCAAGGTACAGCGAAGCAGCTCATCCACATCATCCCATAAAGTAAGAACCAATTTTCGCAACACTCTTTGGGACTTCGCTCCTTCGGTCAGCGATTCTGGTTGGAAGAGCTTCTGGAAAGGATAGACATACACCAGAGATTGCTGGTTCGTACTCTTGCAGTGCCTAAAACTGAAACGGTTGCTCAAAAGATGATCTCGGCTCGTCCTTTAAGCAGAATATCAAGTGATATTGAGCAGCCGCAGCATTTAGCTGTGACATGTGGCTGACAAAAAGCACTTACCGGCCTATGATCCTGCCATATCCTGTCTGCTCATCAAGCCCTCTTCAGTCCTTCGGTGGAGAGCGCTCCTCTGGTTCCAAGAACAAAGAGATCCCACCCAAGCCACAAAGCAGGCTGGTCAGGATTGGCAGCATGGATCGCACGTCCATGGCGTCAAACATGGACGAAGTAGAGCTTTCTAGGCTGGATTGAACCGACTAGAGCTCCCTCACGCTGAAATGGGATGATACATATTGAATATTTTTGAAACATATTGAAACATGGGTGGTCATTCCACATTGAAGATCGATCGCATCGATGGTGCCTCGGTGAGTTGGCCACCCTGGTAGAGTTGGCCAGACTTCGGCCTCTTGCGGAGTCCATGTCTTCTACATTCTCCTGCAGTCTCACCAGCTTGGCATTTTGCGCTGCTGCCAAGCTGTTCTTCTCATCCTAAATCTTCATTTTGAGCGAGCCTTGACTCTTGCAAGCTGTTGGTGTCCTTTCGTACCAGGTTTCTTTTTTAAGACAATCACACACACATGACATAGATATGATGTAAATCGATCTTACATGAGTTTAATTGATTCTACTAGTACTACATATCTTAGGAATCTTTTAGGGGCATTCCTCCCTTTCGTAGCCAGTCACATCGTCTGAGGCCGGCACCATGTCGCGACATTGGCAAAGGCAGTGCCATGAGTGGCTTTGCACCCGTGAAATAGCAAAAGAAGTGTTCTGGTTGGTGGTTTCAAGTCACTTGAAACATATTAGCCAGCCGGTTCAATCATCCCAAGTAAAGGTTGAACATAAACCTGTCCGCAACCACCACCTACTGTTTACTTCAAGCTGGGGCTGCCCTTCTTGAGACACATCTACTGGCATCTACTCGCTGTATATCTTCACTATTCCGTAAGCTGTGCGTGCGTGCCCTTTTTAAATCACACGTTTTTTCTCTTTTTGGGACTACCTGAGGCAAAAGGTACATGAGGCGCCCGCAGGACATGTTGACGCATCATATCCAAAACTGTTCTTTCAAGGGGGCTTGTTGACTCAGCTCGACCACCCACTTGTATAGCAAGGCTCAGACAGCCAATGCAGATTTCTGGAGATCTTTCAGCAAAGTTTGGAAACAACACTTGTGCTTTTCTCTTTATTTTTCACCACATTCAATACAAACTTCCCTCAACCTCTGCCAAAAACACACCACACACACCGGCCAAGCCGTGCCACCAACCCCGCACTCAACGCGAAACGATGTGTCCATTTGGGCATGACATCCAAGCCTTGGTGTGAGGAAGACGGGCATCCGATCGTGCACCTGTCTGACACGTGACAGGTCCAAGCGACACGCGAAACCACCAGCCCAGCCTGGTCGCTTGGTCCGGTGCTGCCCAATTGGGGGGCACGGTTTTCCATGCGTGTTTTGTTTGTTTGTACATATGTCAAAGAGACGTGGAGCCAGTGTCTCTCTTCCGGGCCAGGGTTTCTAGATGAAAGACCACGTCGTGACTCTTTCCCCAATAGCCATGCTATGGGGTCTTGCAAAACTAATAGGCGGACGGGCGCCGTCGGGTCACCGTCAGAGCTGGTGGGCGGATGGTGTCCCGGTCATGTTTTGATGGCGTCCGGGTCATGTGATGCTGGTGTCCCGGTCATGTTTTGATGTCATGTTTTGATGGTGTCCCGGTCATGTTGTGATGGTGTCCCGGTCATGTTGTGATGGTGTCCCGGGCATGTTTTGATGGTGTCCCGGTCGTGTTGTGACGGTGTCCCGGTCATATTTTGATGGTGTCCCGGTCATGTTGTGATGGTGTCCCGGTCATGTTTTGAAGGTGTCCCGGTCATGTTGTGATGGTGTCCCGGTCATGTTGTGATGGTGTCCCGGGCATGTTTTGATGGTGTCCCGATCATGTGATGGTGGCGCGGTCATGTTGTGATGGTGTCCCGGTCATGTTTTGAAGGTGTCCCGGTCATGTTGTGATGGTGTCCCGGTCATGTTGTGATGGTGTCCCGGTCATGTTGTGATAGTGTCCCGGTCATGTGATGGTGGCGCCTTCATGTTGTGATGGTGTCCCGATCATGTTTTGATTGTGTCGCAGTCATAATGTGATGGTGTCCCGGTCGTGTTTTGATGGTGTCCCGGTCGTGTTTTGCTGGTGTCCCGGTCATGTTGTGACGGTGTCCCGGTCATGTTTTGATGGTGTCCCGGTCATGTTGTGATGGTGTCCCGGTCATGTTTTGAAGGTGTCCCGGTCATGTTGTGATGGTGTCCCGGTCATGTTGT